AGCAAGTACCTTCTAATCCTATAGTAATTGACTCTCTGTTATAGGAAGCAACCAGAATTCCTTGGTTTTATGCTTTTTTAGTAACTTAACAATGTTCATGTGGATCCGGTGTTTCCAACCCAGTGATTACAATATATTATTTGCACACATTGCTGAATCAATCAACTTCATAGAGGAAAGTCAATATTGTATACTTGAATCACACAGTATACGTAAAATAACCCCAGAATTCTTTTCTCAAAGCATCTTTCTCACTTAGTGCTACAGTTTGGACATGATTTGAGTGTCTCACCTAAAGTTTCATGTGTTGGAATCTTAGTTTTCCCCATAAAATTACTAACAGGTGGTAGGACCTTTAAGAGGTGGGGCTTACTGGGGCCGGCACCGTGGTGCAGTAAGTTAATCCTTTGCCTGCAACGCTGGCATCCCATATGAGTGCCAGTTCTAGTCCATGCTGCTCTTCTTCCAATCCAGCTCTCCGCCCACAGGCCCCGCCCCACCCAGCGATTGAAGGAGGGCCCAGCCCAGAGCCTCCTTGGACTGGCACAGCTGTGGTGCAGGAAGCAGAGGCCTCGGGGTGTCTGGCCTGGGAGCCCAGAGCGTGGCAAGAGCAGTGGGAGGGGGAGGGAGGGAGCCCGGCCCTCCCAGTGCCAGCCTGCGCATGGGGACCCCGCCCCGCCCCCGGGGCAGGCAGCAGATGGGGAGGGGCTCAGCTGCTTGCCCTGCACCCAGCCCTGTATATTCAGCCCCAATAAATCAGACCTTGAATCCAGCGTTGGCCAGGAGAAGGGGGAGGGGCCTGGCGGGTGAGGGCGGGGAAAGGCGCGGCAGGGGCTCGGGCAGGGCTGGGATGCAAGCAGCCCCCTCTGCCCCGCTCAGCACAGCCCCGGCTGCGGCAGGCACTGTGTCCGTCCGCGCTCTGGCTCTGGGGCCTGAACACAGGCCTTTGCGGCTCGGGCTTCCAACCCTGGACCTGCCCCCTTGTGGTTTACTGTGGGCAGGACCCCTGGCTTCTGTAAAATGGGTATAATTCTACCAGAAGTCCACAAAGCAGTGCCTGGTACGTGGCCACCGGAGGGAGGGAGAGACTTGTCCCAGGCCACACAGCCCCCACCCCCTCCACACACAATCCAGCTCCTGTACCACTCCACCCCCAGCCCCTGCTACCTGCTGAGCGGGCCAGAGGTCAAGAGCCGGTGAAAAGCTTTGCCAGTTCTTTATAAAAGTTAAAGGCTTTAATTCACTCAGCTATCTGGCCCCAGGGAGAACCAGACAGGGCCCCGTCCTTCCCCAGAAGGCACTGGGCGGAGGAAGTCTACCGCCTGGCAGCCAGCAGGACCTGGGCCTGGCCAGGCAGCTCCTGAGTAAGCTGGGCCGAGCTGGGGGACAGGAGGGCTGCCGCATGGGCGCTTCCCGGCCGGGAAGGGGGCCGAGGGGGGCCTCCTTGCCCCCAGCCTCAGCAGCAGTCAAAGGCACCAGGTGTCTGAGTTCGCGGGGAGAATGCAGGGCAGGCGTGGGGGTCCCCACCTCCAACCCCACGGCCTCGGCTACTGCGACAGGGAAGGGTCCAGCAGCTTCAGGACGCCACCCACCAGGTGCAAGCTGCCCGTGACCAGCACGTGGATGGCAGCGGCCTCGCGGAGCAGCCTGGTCTTGCTGCCAGCCACGGGGAAGGGGGGGCGGCCCCCTGGGGGGCTGGGGGGCTGGAAGACAGGGTCCCGGCCTTGGCTAATCCACTGCAAGGCGTGTGAGATGCAGCCGAAGACCAGGGAGGTGCTGCGGCCGGGGCGGGCCGGGGGCGGCGCCAGCAGCAGGGGCTTGGGCCCGGCGGGCTCAGGGCTGGGGGCGCTCCGGCCGCCGTCGTCCAGGCGGCTCCAGTGCTGCTGGTGTTCCAGGCAGCGGTGCAGCACCTGGTCCAGCGTCACCATGAAGTTCTGCTGGTCTGTGAGGGGCAGAGATGGGCAGGTCAGCGCGGGGCAGGCCGGGAGGGAGGCGGCAGGTGCGCTGAGAGCCCCCACCACGCGGCAGGCCCCTGGCGTGCATCATGGGAGCAGCCTCTCCTGGCACCGCCCACGGCCGGCGCTGGGGGGGGGCCCAGGCTCAGACAGGTCCTGAGGGCCGGAGCCGCGCAGCCCAGCTCCAGGATGCGGGCCCACTAAGCGCCACTTCCTGCCCTGGGTCACTGTCTTCCTCTGTGAAAGGCACGTCCGTCCCGCTGCAGTCCACCACCAAGCAGGCGTCAAGTATTTCTGAGGACGCTGGTAGAAATGCAGATTCCAGAACTTTCCCCAGACAGTCCGACACGGGGCCGAGGCTCTGTGTCTTTTTAAAAGCATCCACTGGCTCACTACCCTGACACTGGCAGCAGCTGCGTGTCCAGGGCCGGGAGCCAGAACCCAACCCAGGGCTCCCACGTGTGGGGCAGGAACCCAGTGGAGCCATCGCCACTGCCTCCCAGGGTGTGCGCTGGGAAGCAGCGGAGCTGGGACTGGCAGCCAGGCCCCCCGCATGGGATGCAGGCGTCCTCACCGCCTGGCTCAATGGCCGCCCTGTTTTACTTTAACTGACACACAGTATCAAACACGCGTGTGCAATACACTGTTGTCGCTCCCCCTCTTCCTGGAGGAACGACACAGGACCCTGCGCTGTTCTTTCGTCTGCTCGGCCCTCCCCGGGTTTGCTGCTGGTTCTTCCCGGGTTGGCTACCGACCCTTCCACCTCCGTGGAAGGGCGGTTCCCCCTGCCACTTTCCCCACTTCCGCGGGGGAGCGGCACACCGCCGGCCGGCTCTCTCGGGGGCTGCACAGGTGTTCCTTCAGATAGATGTTCCTGGTGCATGTTGTCTCTCTCCTCCTTTATAGTCCTCTTCCACCAATCCCAACTCGGCTGCCCACACGCCGAGTATGCTGCTCTCCTCCAATCAGGAGCAGGTCCTGCAGCTTGTCAAGTTGGTGAGAGGCAGCTGGGTAGAAGCTGTTGCTCCTCTCCCAGCGCCATATTGTGGGAGAGCAGATGCATAGAATAAGTCTTAATTCCAGTAACAGTCTAGTCCGAGTTGCTCCCCACACACTGTGACACTTCAATCGGGAGCTGTCATTTTTACAACACAAAACATGCCGATGGATGTTGATGTGATGAACCCTCCTCGGGGCCCGAGCCCCGCCAGCCCCAGGGACCACACCTGTCCCCTCTCACCTGCATCGCCGGAGAGCGACCTCTCGGTCAGGTTGGGGCAGAAGACGGCATAGTCAAATTGGCAGGGCTAGAGGCCGAGGGGATAGATGGGGCGTCAGAGCCCGGCCCTGGCCTCCCGCTCCCGTTCCTGCTGCCTCACCCCCACCCCCGTTAGCACCTCTTGCACAGACCGGGGAGCAGAGGCTGGGGAGAGGGGACACCTGCTGGGAGCTGGCCAGCCAGCGAGCGGCCCCCACGGCCAGGCGGGGGCTTTGCCTGCACAGCCGGGTGAGGTTCTGGCCAGCAAGTCTCAGCCTCCCGGCCTGTGAAATGGGACGGGACCCCTAAAAGCCCCTTCCAGCCCAAGGTGCCTCCATTTCCCCAAGGACCTGCACCCGCTTTATAGCAGACACCCACGGGCATCCCATTTTACAGACAGGCAAGCTGAGGCCCAGAGAACACGCTGATGCTCAGACGGGCATACACGGAGTCGAGAGCCTGGACCAGCCACTGCCACGTCGCCCTCCCTTTAAAATCCTGGGCTCGGCTCTAAGCCGGCAGGGGCCCCAGGGCGCTGGCTTAGGGCGATGCTTCCCAAGCCCAGTGCTTCTCCAATCCTTACTATGATCAGGGCAGCGGGCATGGCCCCATTTTACAGCTGGGCAAAGCAAGGCAGCGACAGGGGCAGCACAGCCACGAGCAGGGCTGCCCAGGCCACCCCAGGCCCCTCACCTGCAGCACCTTCAGCAGGGCCGCTGGGTCCCGGTCCCCGGTGGAGTTGAAGAGCAGCACTCTCACTTCAGGGCCACTGAGTCAGGGCCAGAGAGCGGTCACTCAGCGGCATCTCCCCTTTCCCTTCACCCCCGCCCCTCCCCGCTCAAGGCAAGGCCCCGCCCCCGCCCGGGCCCCGCCCCACCACGCCCCCCGCCGCTGCCCGAGCTCACGTGCTCTGCCTCTCCTGGTGCCGCAGCGCTGCGAGGAACCACCGCACGCAGGCCTGCACGCTGCTGGTGGTGTGCGCACCGTCCAGGTACCAGGTGAGGGGCCCCCGACGCAACACCTGCGTGCGGCCCAGCCACTCCGTGTCCCGAAGCCCTGGCGCGGGGGCAAGGCGGTCCTCGGGCAGCAGCCACAGCCGGGAAGCCCTCCGAACCTCCTCCCACCCAGTCCTCAACCCTGAGCCCAGAGTCCAGAGCGCCCTCTCCAGGCAGGCCACGCCCCCAGCGCTCACGATAGGACCCGCCCACGAGCCTCCCACAGGCGCCAGCTAGGGACTGGGCTCTCCTGTCCCCTCATCTGCCGGAACCTTCCAGGCAACCCGGGCCTGGGCCGCCCTGGGCCCATCTGCCGGAGGGGTCTCACGGCACCAGCACCGGCTGGGTGCGGAAAGTCTGGGGGAGGCAAGCAGCAGCCGGCAGCCACCATCCCCAGGACCCCGTGGGTGGCTCAGGGTAGTGACAGTGACGGCGGTGTCACCGGCCCCACACCTGACGCTGACCCAGCTCTGGGCCGGAGCCTTGGAGATGTCACCCACACAACGCTCACGGCAGCCCTTGGTGCTGCCACCTCCGGGGCGGGTGGGGAAGCTGAGGCTCAGAGAGACGCGGGGACTCGGGGTCAGCAGGGTGACTGACCCTGAGTCCGCCCTGGGCGCCACCTGGGACTGTCCCGCCTCCCAAGCAGGAAAGCACAGGAACCCCCGCGGGCACTCCTGGGCAGGGCAGCCCCACTCACCATGGCGCATGCGGGCTGTGGGCTGGAATGCGGGCGCCAGAGGCAGCTGCCGCATGACGCTGGGCCTGGACGAAGCCGTCAGCTCCCCGACGTCTGTGGGGCGAGCGAGAGCCGGGGTGCTCAGCACCCGCCAGGAAGGCCCCCTCCCCGGCCCCCCCCCCGGCCCGCCCACTCACCCTGGTGGTCTTGCTGCTGCAGCCAGCAGTGGGCCAGCTGCAAGGCCAAGGCGGCATTGGACCGTTGGTGCTCCCCCTCCAGCCCCAGGCTCAGCGGCGGCCCGCCGTCCTCCAAGGCTTCCAGTGGCGGGCACAGGTAGAGAGGACACTGCGGGCAGCCGGGCAGCAGCTGGCAGACGGCCCCTCCCCCATGCCCCCCAGCCCCCAGGAACCCACTTACCCTGCTCCCGGAGCCCAGGTGGCCCAGCTCCCTCACTAATCCACCCACGTACCCTCCGGCCAGCGCGCGCCCTCTTCCAAGCTGACTCACCGAAATCTGCTGGGCTCGATCCCGCAGCACCGCCAGGGGCCCGTCCGGCTGCAGCACAGTGAAGGCCGGGACACCACGCTGCGCAGAGCCAGTGGGGCCTGAGACGGGGCTGCCGGGGGCCCCCCACCTGCCCCTCCGCAGGCCTCACGCTGTCGGGCCCCTGCCGCCACGCCCACTCAGCCTCCTGCCCCTCCCTTTGCAGCGGGGAAACTGGGAAGGGGCTCGAACTCGTCCGGGTCCCCAGCAGGGCCGGGGCCAAGACCCCAGGGCCAGGTCCAGGCCCCCGTGCGCCTCCCCGCGCCCAGCCTGCCAGGTCACCTTGAAGATGCCCCCCTTCTGCCAGGCAATCTTCTCCATCGTGTCCCCCAGGATGCTGGTGTGGTCCACGCCAAGCGAGGAGACGCCGCACACCACTGGCTTCCTGGAGAAGACCACAGGCCGTGTCCCCCTGCCCCGAGCCAGCAGGAGAGGCCTGGGCTCCCGGCGGCCACCTCACCTGATGATGTTGGTGCAGTCGTAGGCCCCGCCGATGCCCACTTCCACCACGGCCAGGTCCACCTGCAGGCGACCAGGGGGCGTGGCAGGGGCGTGGCAGTGCCTGGGGCCCACCCAGGAGCAGAGCGCCCACCTGTGCCTCCCACACAGGCCCAGGGGAGCCGGCACGCACCTTCTCTTGGAGGAACACGTGGAAGGCCATGAGCGTGAGGAAGCGGAAGTAGGCGGGCATGGAGACGTAGCTGCCATCCTGCGGCACAGGAATCCGTCAGGGCCCGTGTCCCCGCCGCCCCCTCCCCACGCGCCCAGCCAGCCCCGCCCTCTGCTCGCGGCACCTTGGTCTCCTCCAGCCGCTGGTAGAGGCGCCAGAAGTGCTTGGTGAACAGCTCGCGGCTGATGGGCTGCCCGTTGATGCGGATCCGCTCGCGCACCTGCACCAGGTGAGGGGAGCTGCCGGGAGACCTGCGGTTGTCAGGACCCCGGCCGAGCCCAGCCTGCAGCCTGAGCCGTCCGACCACGACCCGCCCCTGCTGAACGCCCTCCCGGGACCCCCGGTGCCCTCAGGCGAGTCCCCGCGGTTCCCTACGGACCCCCGAGCCCCGGCCTCTACCTCACCGCGCCCTGTGCCCAGCGGCTCTGGACTTGTCGGGGACCCTCCGCCTTCTGGCACCAGGCCTCGGCACCTGCCTCACCCCTCTTCCCTGGCTCACCTGACTCACTGCACAGGTCTCACCCGAGACAGCCCCTGCACTCCAAAAGGCAGAAGCAAGGCCCCTCGCGCGGGGCTGGTCTGGCACGGTCTCTGTGTCCCCGGGCTGTCCCATCACATGCCCGTCAGCCACTCCACTAACGTCTGCCCACAGCGTCCGTCCGTCCGTCAGCCCTCGACTTCAAGGTCCTCTCCTCTTCCTTCAGACTGCAGCCACAGGCCACACAGGCCTAGCAGGTGCTGGGGTCCTGATGCGGTCGTGTGTCCCCACGATGCGCCCGTCAACGGCGGGCCACCCACAGGACAGCGGTCCCGCAGGACTGCAAGCCCTGGGAGCGTTACTGCCCTCAGTTTGTTCAGGGCACCCCGTGGTGGCCACGTGATGACGAAACCAGCTAATGACACGCCTCTCAGCACGCGGCCCCACGGCTGGGTGACTCCTGACCACTTTGAATCCGCAAAGTCCGACTCCTGCCCTCCCTCTCTTTATTCCGAACAAACCACTGTTTAGGGAAAGATGTTGGCCTGCACTACCTTCGCCGGTTGGTCCGACGCGCAGAGGTGGCCCTCGGGACTGGCAAACAGAGAGGCAAAATCGTAGTGGCCCAAGGCCAGCGAGCAAACCCTGAGGAAGCAGCCATCGGGTTCATTCCTTGGTTTAGGGGGTGGCTGGGCTCCCCTAGGCCTGTGAGCCCTGGTGTCTGAGTGCCACCAACAGGGGGCGCGGCCTCCGAGGCCAAACCTTGGCGGAGACCCAGCCTGGGCCATGGGGAGGCCTCCGCCCCCTCACCTTCCGCCTTCACCGGCCAGAGCTCTGCTCCCGCGTGCAGACATCCACGCTGATAAAGACCCCTATGTGAGTTTCCAACTTGCACTTGGGATTGACCTGACTAAAGAGAGCCACTGACTACTCAGTATAGTCGGGCTGCCCTGCTGTGCCCTTCATTATGAAGACGAAACTGCCATGGACAGCCAACACAGGGGTGCCCACTACGTGTGCTGCGTGAACGGACCGTGCCCAGACAGAGCACGTGCGTGCGGCTGACCCCCGGGGTGACCCTGGCCCTGAGGGGCTGGCTGGTCTCCCCTCCCAGTACCTAAAGAAGCCCGTCTTCAGCCCATAGTTTCGGAGGATGCGTTCAGTGAAGGCACAGGTAGAGCCCTAGGAAGAAAAGGCGCCGTCGGCACAGGCCCCGCCTCCTCGGCCCTCTCGGCCCCGCCCCCGTGGGTCCTGGCCCTCACCTTCCCCTTGGTCCCGGTGACGTGGATGATGTTCAGGCGGTCGAGGTCCTCCACCTGGACAGACAGGTAAGACCCCACCTGTCACGGGACCTCAGGCCAGGGCGGGGGTGGCCACAGCCCTCCCCAGCTTACCTGCAGGCCGCTCCGTGCCAGGTACAGCTCCATGGCTTCCAGCTGTGTCTGGGGGTCCCCGCGTTGGCGCTTCGCCTGCTCCAGGTAGCTGGCGTTGGTCTGCAGGGTGTTGAGCATGCGCACGGCATCCTGACAACCACAGTTCCCGAGCAAGGGTTAGCGCCCCCTAAGGGTCCGCAGGGACACGGGCGCCCGGCCGGCACCGGCCACGCCAGGGCACCAGGTCTGCTGCACTGGCCGTGTTTGCGCAGCCTACGGGTTAGCAGTGGCAGCAGAGACAGAAGTGGCGCCCTGCCAGCTCTGGCAAAGACAGCAGCCTGGGGCCCTTCGCCCCACCCAGGGAGTGCCGCGCAGAGAACACGGAGGGAGCCGGAGGGAGCCGCGCTTCCTGCTCCTTCCAGGGGGAACCCACGGGGCGGGGCCAGGTGCACACCAGGCTGGGGGCTCAGGACTCTGGAATTCCTCACGTTCTCACCCAAACTGCAAAGAGGGGGAGGCTCAAAGGGAGGGTGGGCCTGGGCCACAGCCTCAGGAGGTCCCCACTGGTGTGGGGACACTGGCATGGGGACACTGGCCCGGGGACACTGGCATGGGGACACTGGCCCGGGGACACTGGCGTGGGGACACTGGCCCGGGGACACTGGTGTGGGGACACTGGCCCGGGGACACTGGCGAGGGGACACTGGCCCGGGGACACTGGCGCGGAGACACTGGGTGGCGCGGGGACACTCGGAGACACTGGGTGGCGCGGGGACACTGGCGCGGGGACACTGGGTCCACACTGGCGCGGGGACACTGGGTCCACACTGGCACAGGGACACTGGGTCCACACTGGCGTGGGGACACTGGGTCCACACTGGTGTGGGGACACTGGCCCGGGGACACTGGCGAGGGGACACTGGCCCGGGGACACTGGCGCGGGGACACTGGCGCGGGGACACTGGTGCAGGGAGTGGCAGTGCCGCTGGCCTGCCTGGGTCAGGTTCTGGCAACTGGCACGGCACCCGTACTGATTTTCTGGTTTCCAGATTCGGGGGCCCTCCACTGCCCCCCTAATTCTGACACTTGATCATCAACCTTCTTTTTTAAAAACAGAACCTCCACAGCACCTGGTTTATTGTTTTTTTTCTTTTTATTTGAAAAGGAGAGAGGGACAGAGACACAGACCGCGCGCGTTCCACCCGCTAATTCACTCCACAAATGGCTGCAACAACCCAGCCCGGGTCCCGGCTGGAGCCAGGAGCCCAGAACTCCACCCGAGCCTGCCACGTGGGTGGCAGGAACCCAAGGACTTGGGCGTCTTCTGCTGCCTCCCGGGGTGAGCTTTCGGCAGGAAGCTGGCACTGCAACGGGGGTCGGGACTCGAACCCAGGCCCTCGGGATGCAGGCGTCCCAAGCAGTCTTAGCCCCCGCCCATCTTCTGAATCCGCGAAACCACCCCAGAGCCACCCGCGTGGGTCGACCGAGCCCAACTTCGGGATCCCTTCCGTCCCGCCTCCCCGGAGGGTCTCCGCGACCACCGGAACTCCGCACCTGCTGACCCCAGGCTCCAACCGCCAAGGGCCCCTTCCCACTGCAACGCGGGGCACCAAGCCTCAGAACCCCCAGCCCCGGCGGCCCGAGCTCCACTTCCTGGTCCGCGTCCCGTCTCCACCCCTCCCCTCCCGCGACCCCCGCCCTCGACCCCTGCTCCTCCCACCCCGCGGCTGCAGGGCCCCGGATGCGGCGCGGCTCAGGCCCGGCCCAGATGTCACGTCGCGACCTCCCGCCGGCCCCGCCGGGTACCTGATACTCCATGCCCGGCTCCTGGGGAGCCGGCCGCGCGCTCAACTCCCGCCGCGCTGCGACCTCTGTGGTTGCACCGCG